TAAGTTTTTATCTGCCACATCCCGCAACAAGTCAGTATTTTCGAAAACCCAGCTCGCACGTTCTTTCGAAAATAAAAACAAAAATTTTTACTCTGATTTTCAAAGCTAGTAGTAAGGCGGGGTGTGACAGAGAAGGGAAGGGAGAACTTTTGAATGGTAAAATGCTGAAATTGACTCTGGGTGAGCGTAAAATGTAAGGGAAAGTTGCATGGTTTTCTGATTGTCTTTTTAAAAAGGAAAAAGACTTGAGTTAATTGATTAGTATGATCCGAGAATTTGAGTGTACCTATTCTTGAACAAGTAGGAGGCGGCTCTTGTTAAAACCTTATTGGATCTTTTTGACACTCTCAGTCTTCATTTAGCAAAACCTGCGCCTCAGGAATGGCAATCAGTACCCAAAAACCCTAGTTAGCCATCGGTTGCATCATCAGACCTGATAAAATGGTCTGGGATCGAACATCTAGAAGAAGCATCAACTATGGAAAATGAAGGTCAATTTATACCACCTTGATGCTTTCATATATTCACTTGCCGTCAATAAATTTTTCTCTCTCGTAAGTTTAGCAGTCAATTTAATTTTCTGTTTTGCTTTATTCTTCTCTTTTATGTAGTTGCGGTGAGTTGATTGTGAAATAGGGGAGGGATTCTAGAAGTTTGGCAAAGCCAGGCAGGATGGTGTGGCCATTAGAACCTGAAAAAGGTTTTTTGTTCTCTTTTTACTTTGATGTCAACTTTTTAGTTAAGTTTCTGATATTTCATTTATTAATTTTTGTGCAGGATGAAGATGTAATCTATGCTTTCGTTGAATTTGAAGATATCTCGAGTGCAGAACGCGTTCTAGGTTTGACTATTTATTGTTAAATGTCATCTTTAGCTTTTGTTTCTATATATTATGGAAACCAAAACAGAGTCATGTGTCTGTACTTGCTGAATGCCTGGTTTTAAGTGGTTGAGAATTTTTGGACTTGTATGGTTTCCACCTCAATGAGGAAATCTATTCGCGAAATCTCAATGGGATTAGGAATATGTTCGGTAAATCTAGTTGAAAAGCTAGAAGATAGCTGAAATGATTCCAAGCTTATAGTTGATGGCTGAAAATATAGCTTATATAATAAGTTTTGGTAAAATTAGCTTACTTGAAATGAAAATTTCTATAAAGTTTTTAAAAAACTAACGTGAGAAGCTTATGAGATAAACTACGGCTTTTTAAAAAAGTTCATCCTATCCTACCTAATCAAGTTTATTTGAATACAAGATCATAACTTATGAGCTAATCATTAAGCTATAAGTTAGTTCATAGTGCTTACCAAAAACAATCTAAGGTTCAATACCATTGATCTTATAGTGTAGTTTAGGTCCTCCAATCGCTTCCTATTTTTAGTAGTTCGAGAAATGGGTACAACTCTTCAAATTGAGCCTTATCAAAGCTTATAGAGAGAGAGATAGAGAGAGAGAGTTTTTGCCGATGAATTGTGGAATTCTGGGATTTCATTGTCACGAATATTCCATCTGTGCTTGAAGGTATTGTGGCCATATTTTTGGTTGAGGCTTTCCAGTTCAAAATAAAAAATGTCAATCATCCAGGAAAGGGGTGGAAAGAAATAAAAATAAAAACAAACAATCATTCTCAAGATACATAAAAATTTGGCAACTTGGTAGGTGAAAAATACTCATGTAGTGTGATTCTGTGTTTTCCCTAATTATAAGCACCCCTTAGCATGAAAGCAAGAACTTGGAAGTGTAAAAAGTGAAAGAAAAAACAAGGCCAAACTTTTCACAATATCAACAAGGCAATAATAATAATAATATGAATGATATGACAAGGGCGCTGGACGACGAGCTCAATAACCACGACTCCTCGTTGGTGGCGGCTTCCCGCACACGCATTGGCACTCATAACCACATATGTTCCCAAAGCACGAGAATAAGCCATTGCCATTGTTATTGTTGTTGTTGTTGTTGTTGTAGTATCTCCTCCGAGTTCGAGTCCGACTGGCGGATGAGGTTGAGGTGTAGCTGGCATTGTTGTCGTACATCTGTGGAAGCTCCATTCTCCACCTCTCAAGTTTGGACCTTAGACCCTCCACACTCTCGTCCACGCTCCACCCCTCCCTCCCCTTCCTCTCCACTGCTATAGCTGCCGCCACCTCAGACGCCGATGGGCCCACTTCTGAGTCCGACCACACTGACTTTCCCTTCATTGGTCTGTGCCCGTGCCCAAGATTTGGGGGTTTCTCATACCTATCTTTCTTTGTCTTGTAGAATCGAGATGAGACCTTACTGTAAACAGAGTCGCTCACCACCGAGATCGACTTGTTGCCCTTTTGCTTGGGCTCTCGGAGCTCAATCACAGAGCTCGCCTTTCCCTTCTTCTTCAGAGGGTGGATGTCTGAGACGCTGAGTATGGAGCTCTCCTTTGGAGGCCCTCCCTTATTTTTGCCAATAATAATAGAGTTGTTGAACGCAATGCCATCACTTTTTTCGCTCCACGATCGAATGAGTATTGGCTTCACCTGATTGTTGTTGTTGCTTTTCTTGTTTTGATTCTGCATGAGGTCACGGAACCCAACGGCCGAGGCACTGAGTTGGTTGTATAGAGGCATGCTCCTCATGGAGCCATCGACTAAGGCCACACCAATATTGAGTATCCCCTGCGGACGCCCAGATGGGCGACGTACCTATAAATAATAATTAGCATGTCATTTCAATTACCAATACTTCGCAAACGTGATACGAGCACGTGTGCTTATGTTTATGTTAAGCCGGTTTCCGAACAACATTAGAAGAAGAAGGAGCGCGACCCAATCTAATTCCCGATCAAAATTAATTTCTCCTTTCACTAGCATTAATAATCTCATAATCCACAATTCACAATCCAAATCTCCTCATATTGACTCCCACCAGGCAATAGCAATTCATGCATGTATTGCAAGACAGATTTGGGTAATTAATTGATATATAAATCATATCACATGAGCAAAAGAAAAAGAAAGAGACATAACCTGAAGAGCAACAAAGCACATGCCGATATGGTGATTGGTTCGGACACGGGTAAGGACAGGTGGCGGAATGAGATTGGCTACGAGCACACGCACGGAGCCCACAACAACATCCCGCAGCCAATGGGTGGCGTAGATTTCGATAATCACAGCTGACTTGTCCTCATGCAGGAACTCCTCATCTACCCTAAACACAAATTTGTCATTCCAAGTCGGGTTGTTGTTGCCATCCGAGTCGATGCATGATGACAGCTTGCGGGTCGGGTTGACCCAGGCTCGGGCATATGTTTTCATCTTTTTGAATATGGGCTTTAGATCTTGGCCCGATATTATGTTTATCTCCAGCAGCTGGAAAGCCTTTGAACCCCATCGAGCCATCTTCTATGATAATTAAACATAAGATTTACAAATTACAGT